AATAATAATAATGTTGATGAATTTTTATTAGCAATAATTAATTTTAATACTAATAATGAATTAATTATTTTATTGATAATAATCATTCTTATTCATAAAAAAAATGTTGCTATCAATAGGTATTCATTTGCACTGAAATAATAGGAAAATATTATATCACGAATAAATGTAAAGCTGTTTATTGCATACATAATTTTAATATTTATACGACAAAATAAATACAAAAATTTCATCACAAAAGATTACATCTAATTATTCTAATTGGCATAATTAATTATATCCGATAAAAATTAAAATTAATTAAGGTATTTAGATTTGAATAAACAAATGCAAGTAAATATTATTATCAAATGATCATTATGCATACTTTTTGAATTTATTCAATTAAATTTATTTCTCTGATTTAATTTAGTAATTTTACTAATATTATGCTTATATTTTAAGCAAATTGAGCTATTTTTTTTAAAAAAAAAAGAAAAAAATATATATTATGAATAAAACGTATAATATACAACTAATTGCATGGATGTTATCAATCGTTATCAGTCAGTTGTGAAATATTGTTAAAATATCAAACAAATCAGTTGTAGCCAGAAGTAAAAAACAAAAAGAACTTTTACTTCATGTAATTAACTTTCATTGTTCCACTTTCATTTCTTTATTCGATTATTTTGATTTATCACTTGTTTTTTTTTCGCTTCAAAGTTTGAAAGTGATAAACTTTCTTCAGTTATTTTCCAGATCCTTTCAATGACGTAAATTAAGCAATTAAAAAAAAAAAGTCGAAATATGTTTTGCTTTTTCATCGTTTCTTTTAAAAATAACACATCCGCAAGAAAAAAAAAAATCGTAAACGTGATTTTATACCATCGCTCATCAGTAATATCAATTTAATTGATTAAAAAAAAATGAAATTAATCGAAATAATCAAAATCAAAATAATCGAAATAATCCATTTTTAATTAACATTAAAAGTAATTTATCTGAAGTATTGAATGATTCATTTAAATTTATATTCATAGATTCGTTATTGTAATGATTAAAAAGAACAAATTATTGTTAGATGAATTGTTCGAGCAATTCATTATTGGTACACATCCAACGAACAAATAAATATAAATTGAAAATTAAAAAAAAAAGTAATTGCAAAAATCTCCATCAAATATATCACTAAAAGATTTGATCAGTGTACTGTAGCTACAATATTAATCGTATCATTGTACCTTATTTCTTATCATCTTCACTGTTGTTGTTATTGTTCTCGTTGTTGTCATTGTTGTTTTACTGTTGCTGTTCTTCCCGTTGTTGTTGTCGTCGTCATCGTTGTTATTATTGCTTTGTTATTACTGTCGTCAGATCGTTTTCATTGTCATTATTATCGCTGTTGTTACTGCCGTTGTTATTATTATTATTATTATTATTATTGTTATTATTATTATTATTTGTTATTATTATTATTATTATTATTATTATTATTATTATTATTATTATTATTATTATTATTATTATTATTATTATTATTATTATTATTATTATTATTATTATTATTATTATTATTATTATTATTATTATTATTATTATTATTATTATTATTATTATTATTATTATTATTATTATTATTATTATTA